GACGGCCCCAATTAGCCACGCTCGCTCAGGCACGGACAATGTCCGCAGCGCTGGGAGCTCTTGGGGCCCTCAGCTTTCCCATGGGCTCCCCCAGCGCAGCGGGCACGGGGATGCAGCCAACGTCGGCGGTGGTGGCACAACCACGGAGCTTCCGACCGCCGCCGCGGGTCAGGATGCGGTTGGCACGCGGCCAGACGGGCACACGAGGGCCGGGCCAGATCCTGGCCTCCGCCACCCCCTTCTTTCTCAGCAGGGTGGGGTTTGGTATGCGCCCGCACGGCCGCACTCACCCAACTGGTCCCGGCTCTTCCATCGGCAACGCCGCTCGGCAGGAAGCGCGGCAGGACCGGCACCGATGCTCAGCGCCCACAACCACGCAGCACCCCAAGCATAAGGAGCCTCCCGCTCCCCAACTCATCGACCCCACAGCCCTCCCAGCCAGCTGCCTCCATGTTCCCAACCCCGGGCATTGCCTCTCACAGCCCAGAGCTGCATGCGGGGCTGGGATGGATGCATCCCTGCAGTGTGGTTTCCGCACACCGCCCCGTGCCCCGCACGCTGCCCTGGGCACGGGGAACCGGCCCGGCGGCTCCGGCAGGTGGGAGCTGTCTGGCAGCGCCGGTGTGGCCGGGCTGGAGCCGCCGTGGCGCTGGGGACGTCCCGGAGGAGCCAGACAGCCGGGTTGGGGCCGCGGGGATCAAGGAGTGGGGCAAAAGCACAGCCCCAGGGCAGCCGCCGACCCACAGGGATGGGACTTTGTGATGGCACTCAGGCTGCTCACCGCCCCATGGCACAACACCAAAGGCTCCAAGTGGAACCCAACACCCCATCACCAAAACGTGCCGATGGCCAAAAAGCACTGGGGCACCCAACAGCAGTGCAGCGCTATAGGGGGACCAAGTGCTGGGAACCCCCGGTGGCTGAGGGGACACAGATCGCTGCGGGTGGAGATGGACCCCAAGCATCGGACCCACAGCCGGACCCAGCACAGCACAGGCACGGCCAGGACAGCATCAGGATGGGACCAGAGCAGCCCTGCCACTGAAATGCCATCTTTGAGCCAGGAATGCAGCAAGCTGATGGAGGAAGGGAAGCAGGAACAACCCTCCCCTCCCAAAAAAATAAATTAAAAAAAAAAAAAAGAAAAAAAAAAAAGAAAAAAAGGGAAGAAAAAAGGATCCCGCACAGGACGCGGTCCCCCCAGTGCCCCCCCCCCACATTCCTGCAGCACGGGGCCCCCGATGTGGCCACATCCAGCCCTGGCTGCCTGCCAGCAGCACGGCACAGTCTCCCCGCTCGCAACAAAGCACAGCCGCAGCATCCTGGGACGGCAGCATCCATCCCGCCCCGCTCCTGGGTTTTGGTTGGGTTTGTTTTCCAACGTTTTCCTCCTCCAAAACACCGCTCCAGGCACACAGTTCGGGACAAGGCAGCCGTTCTGCTCCGGCCCCCCAGCACTCCCCCCCTTCTCCGCCCCCCCCCCCCCAACTCAGCACAGCTGCAGCCCAGCTGGACGGATGGACGGACACCGCCAGGACGTGGCTGGGGGCCGCGTTCCCCCCCTCCACAGTGTTTTGTTTTTTGGAGGGGGGGTTAGGAAAGGATACAGCTTGACAGCTCCCGCCTTGGTGCCGATGGCCATCACACGCAACCTGGGGTCGTAGGCCAGGGCGCTGGGCTGGCTGGGGAAGCCGTGCTCCACCGTCTGCGGGGACAAAGGGGTCAGAGCAGAGCATCCCCCAAACCCCAAGTCCCCCCAGTAGGAGCAGCAGCACCCCCAGCGCCCAGCAGGATTGGCACTCCGGCCCTGCAACGCACCGACGATGCCACAGCACTACCCAGGAGCCTCCTCAGGGGTCCACATCCCAAAACTGACCAAACCACTCCAAACGACACCGAAAGACCAGGGCTGCCCTGACCTTAGAGAAGTGAACCAAACTACCCAAAGGCACGGGGATGCCCCCATCCACAGCAACGCCCCAAGGAGCAGAAGAGGGTTCCCAGCGATGCCGCACAGAACCAGGCGAGCGGGACCAGCCAGGGAGCAGCGCCGGCCGTGCTGAGCCCCTGCAGGCACCTTCCCAAGGAAGTCCGTGACGGCGGCGTGCCCAGGCTCGCTGCTCTGGGAGGGGCTGGGCAGCATTTGGGGACGAGGATAGGAGGGGGCACACGACAACAGCCGCCACCTTTTGCACCAGGGAGCGCTCCCAGGGGCTGCGACACCAAAATGCTCTGGGGTGACACCTCCCTGATGTGCCAAGAGCTGCTCTGCGGTGTCACCCGGCAGCAGGGAGCACGATGTCCTCTTGCAGGAGGGTTCTCAGTCTGAGGACAAATTTGGGTGCCGGTCCCCATCGCCCACACGGCACCCCAAAGGCTCTGCAGGATGCACACTTGGCTCCAGGATGCTGAAAGCTACCGGGGGGTGAGGGGTGGCACCATGGAGACGCTCTGAACTCAGTGTTCAGATGGGGACCAATGGGACCACCCTAACAGAACCCCAAAAACATCCTCACTGCAGGACAGCCATCCCACTGGAGACCCAGTGGCAGCAGTGCTACTGGGGATGATGGCAACAGGGACAGCTCAAGGATCAGTGGTGGCACTGGGGGATACCCAAGGAGCTGGGGGTCATGGTACTGGGGATGGTGGCTGAGCACCCGCTCCCTTCACAGCCTGCCTCCTCCTGCCAGCAGTGGGGCCACATCCGGCAGCAGGCTGCTCCGGACGGCCAAGGAGCACTCTGGGCCAAATTACAGCAAATCTGAGGCAGATTTGGAGCTCGCAAGGAAGGAAAAAAAAACAAAACCCAAGACCTTAATGGGAGGCAGGTGGGCAGGCAGCGTCCCGGGGCGCTCACGGCTTCCGCCACGCAGCCACCCCTCGGGATAACCCCCTCAATACCGGGTCTGGTGGTGGGACCCCAAAACTGGGGTGGGCTGAGGCAGAGGGGTGAGTTTGGAGCACCCCAAACCTGTGGGGAGCAATGGGGGCTGGGGGGGGAGGAGGTTGCATCCAAGGGAGGAGAGCACGGTGACAATGTTTTCCTGCCTTCGGTGTCACCAGGAGCTGGGGACGTCCCAGCGCCGCGGGGCTGCAGGCGGGAAGGATGGAGGAGCTCCCCCAGCGGGGAGAGGGCACAGAGCGGGACCGGGGAGTGACACCAGGACGGCGGCAAAGCGCTGCACCGGCCGGGGGCCTCCAGATCCACGGGGCGCGTTACAGGGGAGCAAAGCGGCTCCCAGCCCCGGAGGTGTCACCGCGCTGCAGTGCTACGAGGCGGCCGTAGACACTCGCAGCACCACAGGGGTCACACTCGGGGACGCTGTGAGCGCGGCGGTCCCCAGACGGGTGCTGCCGCCCGGGGGCGGGGGTCTCGGTGTGACGGGGGGCGGCGAGGTATGACCCCCCCATACACACATACCGCGGTGCCCCACCGCCCCGGGGCCGCCCCTACCCGTAGCCTGCAGGGGGCGGCTCCCGCTGCCCGGTGCCTTCGGGGCCGCCCCCGCCCCCCGGGGGGGTCCCGCATCCCGCGCAGTTCGGGGGGGCTCCGGTACCGCCTCCTCCCGCCGCCGCAGCCCAGGGGTCCCCCCCCCGCCCGGTCCGCACCTTGCTGAAGGCGAAGAGGTCGTGGCGGAGCCGCTCGCGGTGCGGCTCGGCGCCCTGCCGCCGGAACCGAAACTTCATCATGGTGGGGCCGGCGGGGCTCGGCTCGGTACCGGGAGGCGGAGGGCGGGACCGGTGATCCCGGGGCAGACGCTCCCGCTGCCGGCGGTGCCGCTCCCGGTCGCGGTGCCGCTCCGGTGCCGGTCCCGGTGCGGGCGCCCCCCCCCCCCGCTCCGAGCGACGCGCGCCGCGCGCCGAGCCCCGGGCAGGCACCGCCGCGGCGGGGCGGGGTGTGGCCCTGACGGACGGCGCGTCCCGCCAATCAGCGTGCGTTCGCACGCGCGGCGCGGCGGCGCCCTCCTGTCTGCGCTGCGCATGCGCTGGCGCGGAGGCTGCCGGGAGTTGTAGTTTGCTGCCCCGCAGCTCTCTATGGCAGCCGATGCGCTTCTCCCTTTTCTTTTCTCCCTCATTCTTTCGTGTTTTTTTTTTCTCCTCAGGGCCGGGCTGAGGGGCAGCGAGGTCGGCTCCAGGACGATCGTCCTGGCCGCGGGGTTGCTGGGCACCGGGGCTCACCGCACGGAGCGGCCCAGGGCAGGCCTCACCCGCAGGGCCCGGTCCCGGCTGAGTCAGTTGGGCGCCGCGCTCAGGGCTGGGCCGGCACTCCGCGCTGAGTAACGGCGGGCCGCCCGCACGGTGCGGGGCTGCGCTGCGAGGCCTCGTGCCTCGGTGTCCCTCTTCAGGTTCTCTCCGGGGGGAGGTTGGGCCTTTGGGGTGGGGACGGAGGGCGGCCAGCAGCCATCCTGGCACCCCTAGTGTGAGAGGTTCTTGTGGGCTGACAGGAGGAACGCGACGGTACCGTGTGGGGACAGCATGGGGACTTGGCCAGGAACTACTGAATCATTCCGGTTGGAAAAACCCTCTGAGGTCACCAAGTCCAACCCCGAACCGCCCACACTGTGCCACCGAACCACATCCCTCAGTGCCTCAATGGTCCTCGAACACCTCCAGCCACAGTGAGCCCATCGCAGCCCAGGCAGAGGCACCCGACTGCTCTCTTTTGGGAGAAATCTGTGGAGAATGAGAAAGAAGAGGAGGAAGGACACCACGCCAGGCAGCACCCAGCCCTCCCACAGGAGGCACAGCCTGCAAGGGGCCCCGATGAGGCTGAAGCACAGGGTGCAGACCCCTTGGATTGACCCATTTCCTCCGGTCTAGAGTGCGGTGGGACAACAGGGACATCGTCACCACCCGCCCCATGGGGAACCAAGGAAGAGAACCAGGCAGGGAGCACCCACTGCAACCCCGTCCTGGTTTCCAGGGCTGCACACGCATCCTCCCAGAGCTCCCCTCTCCCACAGCAATCCCAGCCCCACCACACAGGCAGGCACAGCGATGCTTTCTGCTTTTATTCAATTAATGCAGCAATCTATACAAGAAAAAATAATAATAATAATGAAACCATGAAATTCCAAACCCTGACAGTGAAGAACCAAATTCTTCCTAAGAATCAACCAGAATTAAAAGTATACCCCTGCGTCAGACTGTACATAAAATAATCTCTGCCCCATTTACAGCGTTTCACACAGTACTTCTCGTATCTCAAACTTCAGAACTGTACAACTTTGTTACAAACCACGCTTTTTCCTAGGAAAAGCTTACAGAAAAAAATATTGCCACTTTCTTTTTTATTTTTTATTCTTTTTTTTTTTAATTATTATTATTTGTAACAAAAAAAATTAGAATCTTATAAAACAAAATTAAAGTCAGCCAGAACTTCTAAGTGTGGGCAGGGGGGGCAGGAAGGAGCAGAGATGTGGTTCTCGGCTCAGCATTTCTCCTCCTCGCCAGGAAAAGGAGGGCGATTGGCAGACAAAAGACAACTTGCCACTGGATGGGGAGCCAGACCCCATGGCCATGTTCTGAGCCCCCCTCCAGTCCATTCCCAACCACGGGTTTGGGTTGGGACATCTCTGAAACCAGCATGAGTGGCTGATGGTGTCTCAGCCCTGAGTTCAGGGCTAAATGTGGAAACTGGGGCTTCCCTGCACGCTGCAGGGAGGTGGAAATCACAGCTGGCAGCCTCCACCACAGCTCACAGGGCTGACAGCCCCTCCCTGGGCCAGCTCACCTCTCACTGCTGGCAGACAGCCCTGGGTTTTCTTCCAGAGGACGAGTGGAGCCTACACAGCCATCACAAGAGCCTTGGTTGGATCGCCGAATCTTCTCAACATGCAGGTAAGGGCAGCAAACCCAAATTCCTCCCTTGGCAGAAAAGCAGGGACAACTTCCATCTACCTCCCCCTTCCTTAGGAAAGACAGTTCTCATGGTCTGGGCTGTGGGTCTGAGTGCTCGTGGGGTCATCACATCATACACAGCCTCATGCTCCAGGACGGGTGAGCAGGTTACACAGCACGCTGCAGGTGGATGGAGAGGAGTTAGGACTGCATGGCTGAACTACTGGAGACAAAGAAGCCGACCTGGTCAGGCCTGCACATGAGCCCATCTTCACACCAGTCTCACATTGTTGGTCTGACTGAAGCCTTCACACAGCCACAACAGAGAACAGGTACAACCATCAGCAGTGTTTTGAGCCACGGTTTTACCAAACAGGTCACAGTAAGGGATCTAGACATCTGGATCCATGTGAAAAAGGTGTCGTCTTGTTTCGAATCAAGGTTTCACCCCAATGTTGTTCAGTGCAAAAGAGTTAAAAAACCATGTATCTACACATATACATCCGTGTGTATATAAAATGTCTGTACAAGTGGGGGAGATGGCCTGCCTGCACGCTGGGGACTCTTGCCCAAGAGATCCTATGGGTCAGATCGGTTGTGTCCCACTCTTGCCAAGGTGTCAAGGCCCAAGCAGTCAGCTCGAAAACTAAAAGCACAACGAAGCAGAGGGCGGCAGGAGAGCAGCTCCAGCAATGGCTGCCAGCTCAGACCCACAGCACAGACCTGGGATGAGGAAAAGGAGGGCAGAGCTCCCAGAGGAGGCATGCAGGAATACAAAACCCAACGGGACAAGCAGGATGCCTGCACACGTACAGACTGCACAAGGACTGGGATGAGGTGACGGTACCAGGCGAGGAGGTAAGACCTCAGGGTGCTTTGTTCAGCCTTTAGTGGAAATTATCTTGTCCCATGGGAGTCACAGTGCTCCTGCTGCTTCAGGGAGCGGCCCTGGGAAGGCAGGTTGCCTTCACTGTGAGTTGAGACACCAGAGTATAGTATCCATATTGCAGAGGTAGGCATAAAATTGGGAGAGGGGGAGAGCAGGCTGTGCAGAGCAGAGACCTCCAGCAAGGGAGAACAGGTGGCTCTGCACTGCTACTGCCAGCAGCACAAAGCAGCACAGCCTAATGCCCTTGGAGGGAATGGGGCATGTCCAGAGCAAAACCAGAATTAGGAACAGCCACCCCAGGCATCCCACTAGCAGGTTTCTAGCTTGCCAGAGATGTTTGCAGACACCAGCCATAAGGAGGAGAAGAGATCGCTGCTCCCTGCATGCTGTTTTGCTGTTGGGGAACGCCAAGCTTTCCAAAACGGGGTTTGTAGCCAAGAGATGGCCTGGATTCTCTGCCACAAGCTAGGAATGGGAGGAATGCTGCCTCAAATGCTGAGTGTGGACTGATAATGGCCTTTCAGAAGTCCCAGATGCATGAACTTCCAGATCTCTCTGACAAGACAGGTAAGTGCCTTCGAACGCTGGCCATGAGGCTGCTCTCAAAGCTGCACAGTGAGCCGATGAGAGCTCTCACCAGGAAAGCAATCAGATGAAGAGAATCAAAGACAGGCAGTAGGAGCCTCACCTACAAAACCTCCTGCAGCTCAGTGCCGTGCTGAGGGTGACAGCAATTCCCTTTGCACTAGTGTAACTGCTGGATCCAGCTTCAGCAGCGAGCCCAAGGACAGACGAGTGGCGGGAGCTGCAGAAGTCAGCAGGGAAGGAAAAAGACAATGAGACCCAGATGTCATCACTAAGGAACAGTGCCCGTTTTTTGACCAGTAGCTCCTCAAGACAGCAGCAAACGGGTTTCAAAATATATTACATCTTTTTATTGCCAAGCGTGCAGATCATGAAGAGTGGGGGGGACACAACACTAAGAAAAACTACAATTTGAGGAAGAACAAAGCAGTAAAAATTTAAAAATAAGACTACTCCTTACAACTGCCAACACTCGGGTTCAAAGAATCAATTGGAGAAAGACTCTTAAAAGTAGGGTTCTAAATATGGTGTCGGGCCCCAAACCTGCGAAACACAGATTTCAGGCAGAGAAAACACAAACTGGTGAGAAAAGATGAGGAAGAAGGCAGACTTCTAACGTTACCTCCACAGGGTGAGACATCTCACGCCTCTCATCACTTCCTGGGGCAAGCAGAGTCCTCACCTCAGAATACGCACAGAAACAAGAATGCATCAGACAACTGCTGCAGTGGTAGCTGACGAACATCCTGCGGGCCAAAACAGAGCTCCTCCGTACCCAGCAGCATCCCAAATCTTCTCAGGGGGTCCCAAGGCAAGCGTTCCCCCTAGCACAGCCTCCCTCCCACTCCTCTTTGCTGTCTCTAGCTCTGGAAAGCAGCACGTACTCAATGCAGTCCCTTGCTCTGCAGCTCCCAGGCTCCAATACAGATCTCAAGTCAGCACTGGACCAACACCAGTGAAGCCAGCAGCAGCTCCATCCTCAGCCAAAACAGATCACTGGTCAGAACAGCACTGAGAAACCAGAGCTTAAGTACATTCTTCTTGGAGAGGGCAGCACAGGGACACAAAGCTGTGAGCCCAAGCTGGTTAGGGAAAACGGACTGGAAAGGAAATCTATGGCATTTAAAACTGGTACTAAAGTGCAACACAAATGTCCTAAATCCTTTGTAATCAATGCAGCAAAAGGAGTCTGCAAAGCTTCAAACTTCCAGTTACTGCAGAGCACACCCTTAAAACACAACCCAACAACAATTAGGTATAAGCAGACCAAGGAGCCCTTTGGTGAAGCAAGAAATACGAGGCCACCACAGAGAATTTCAGCTCCTGGGGTCTAACAACATCATATTTAGAACACTTGGAAAAGAAGAAAGTTAAAGCAAAAGAAAAAAGAAACCAACAAAACAAAATACAATTCTTGAATCTTGCGCAATGAAACAGTTAAACTTTTTGGTGTTTTCAAAGAAATCCCAACAGACAGCCTGGCATAACGTTATCTGCTTCCTATGGTAGAGATGCCCATTAGACCCAGAACTCAGGACACCACGTGTAACTGGACATGTTCCATCCTTACACACGTCTCAGCATTCCTCCATTCATAAAAACAAATCGCTAGATCCTTCCTGTTTACTCTTCAGCCTGAAAGGAAAAAACCAAAACTGAAGCTAAATGGAAAATAGCCAGAGGGAGGAGAAAGTTTTCACAGACTAGAGGCCAATCTCATCGGCTTCACAAGCCTGGAAAGTGCATTCCTCAGTGTCGCCTCATTTTAACTTTCCTAGCCGGGCTGCCATCCTCCTCCTCCTCGTCACAGTCCTCCGTGTACTCGTAAGACCTTCGCCAATAGTTCTCAGAGCTGAAGTTGCTCCGTCTCCTATGTTTTGGTAAGAGAACTGAGCGCCTGTTCTCCTCTTTATCCATTTCTAGAATCCGTGGCCTACGGAGAAAGAGAGAAAGAGGGGGTGAGAACACATCCACAACAGGATTCAAGCACTCCTTGTGCGGATACCATCTGGATTTCTGCATATGTTGAGCACCATGAGTGACTTTTTCCACACTGCTCTCCCAGCACTAAGCCCACGGCTCTCAACAGAGCAGAGCACAGCGCCGAGTTGCACGTCCCATGAAATAGCAGAGAACTTTCCTTGAACAAGTGTGAGTCCTTAGCCTTCACATACTGAGCTCTGGTCTTTAGCTCCACTGGGGAGACCTCCAAGCAGCCTGATCAGCCCTCCTGAAGTACAGCTTGGGGTACCAATAAACATTCCTTTGGCAGAGGGGTCTGCCTCCTACGGAGGAGCTCAAAAATGAGCTCAGCTCTGTGCTAAGCTGCTAGGATATTTGCAGTGCAGGATTAAACCACAAGTCTGAGCTCTTTTGTCCTCATCCTAGTTCTCTCAAACATTATCACAGTGCAATTAGTATTTATGTAAAGCTGCCTCTGTTCTCCCCTGTACTCAGTTCAGTTTATGGTATGACCATGCTGGCAGGATTCACAGCTGCACAGAGCACTCACATTCATCCCAGGTGCCAACTACTGAGCTCCTCTGACAGATGTGCTATCTGTGCTATTTACTGGCACTACGCTGAGTCTTTTGGACCTTTCAGAGTCTTCAGATACCATCCACTGCAGGGCACTACCCTGAGCTCACATCCCAGTAAGGCACATCTCTGCCTTCACGTCAGCTCTCACGGATCTGCAGACTTTGCCCTGCATGACCACTCCCTGAATCACACGCAGGAGCTCAGAGGTAAGATTTTATTTGCAGCCTCGCTCCTCTTTGCGATCTGTGTGCTCAGTCATCCCGAGTTCTGATGAATGAACACTGCTCATAAACAAACCATCCCCACCCTTCTCCTTCACCAGGACAGGTTGAAACACGGGCTGGAACTTCACAACAGCTGAGCTCCACGACCATGCCAGCCTTTTGGTTTCACATGATGTGCAGAGAATGCCACCTCTATCCTTGGGGAGCTTTGGAATTAGAGAACACCAGGAACATTGCATGACAGCTGCCAGACTGGCTATCACTACATTCACACAAAGCAAGGTGGTGTTTAAGGGAAGCCTTGCCACAGAGCTCAAGCTGTCTGGAGCTTCAGCAAGGAGCTCTCTTGTAGGTCAGCCTTACACACACACACACACAGAGCTCTGGAAGCAAAGTAGATCTATGGAGCTTTCCAAGGAGACCTTCACCCTTCCCAGTTTACAAAACCTCAAACTGCTTTCATAATATACTTCAACACACCTGCACAGGTTGCTTGGCAATAGAGGTCAAAAATAATTAGCTGCAGGGAAACCATTGTTCTGAATGACTGCATTATCAAGAGGCAGCCAAATCTATTGCTTCTTCATTATGCCATTCACAAGATAAACAATGTAAGCTGCTTACAGCCAGAGCTTAGTCTCCACAAGCCTAGGAGGAACATATAAGGAACCTCACTGATAACAGATCCATACACAGAACACACCTGGGAGGTGCTTCCCAGCTCCTGGCAAAGCGGTACAAAGGATGCTGTAAGCGCGCTGTGCAAACTCTCTTGCAGAGACCAGGAACCTCAGATGTTTGATGACCCAGAGAAAACACCCAAAACCTCCCCCCTGGCCAAGATCAACTCACCTGTGAGCAGCATCAGGATCTGCTTTGCGATGGGACCGCTTTGGTTTCAAGATCTGGTCCCTGTTGCTTCCTGACAGGCGGTCAGAGGTGTAACCTGGTGGCAACACAGAGCTACTCAGCGATTTTGTTTCCAATCGAGGGGCATCTAGTCTTGTTCTGCAAATATTAAAAAAAAAAAAAAAAAGTGAATTTGCAAAGTATTTCAACTGAATTGCTAGCAGGCTGCAAATGGTATTTGTCCTAGATGCACTGAAGTAGAACCCTCAATCCCAGGCACACAGCTCTGAAAGAGGGTCAGGACTGTTACATCCAACAGAAGAACAAGCTGCAGCTTTTTCCTACTTGAAGCTACAGCTTTTAACCTTTACTGCTTTCTAAAGACAGGAAGGCTTAGGGGTCAGCATGGCCACCACGCACAGGAAAGGTGCTGGGCTCACTGCAATCACAGTGACAAGATATTGAGCAGAGGTGCTCAAGCACCTGTGACATCCTATGAAATCACAGCGACTCTTCAATAACTTGCAACTCCAGTTAAGCCACCTGGGAGATGCACTGTGAGATCCATCAACACCAACACTGATAGTAACTGCTTCTATCTGGAAACTCCTTACTGTCTCTGGGATCTCATGGGGTCAGGCATTTCTCAGCTCGACTAAAAGGTTTAAGGCAGGAGTCAAAGTTTAGTAACCAGCAGCCACACCACAGCCCCTCCAGCAGCACAGCAGCTCATGCTGGAGTAAAGCTGCCACTGCTCCTGGCCCAAGCATGGCTGCAGCCAGCAGCTTCTATGCATGTATGGAGAGAGGCAAGAGGCTGAGCAATGGCCGTGCAGCACAGATGAAAGCTTGACAGAGCACTGCCTTCACATGGTGCCACCACCACCTCCCAGCACAACGTAATTACCAGGTTCAATCTGCAAAAACTTCTAAAGTCTATTTCAAAACACAAATTGAAGCCTAAGAATGAGCAAAACACAGTAAAAGGTGGTGCTGGTGCCCCACAGTGCCACTTCCTGGAATAAAAAAAGGGCATCCTGATGCTGTTCCTGCAGCCTGTCTGCTTTTGCAGGATCAGGGCTGAATACCAGAGGGGTCTGGGTAAAAGAAAGGGAAGAATCACTACTTGTCCCTCAGTGTTTAACTTCAGCTTTTGAAGCAAGATAATTCTAACCTAAACTCCTGTTATGAAGCAAGTTCAACTGCCAAGCTTCCTCCATGCTTCCAGGAAGACTCCAGTTAACCAGGGAGATGCCAGGATGGCAAAAATGAAGGTGGGTATGCCAGAAATGAGGAAAACTTCCACAGGCAGCTGGCCAGGCTGCAAAGCCATCAGCCTGAGCTGTTCTCAGCTCCAGGACGGGATCCAGCTGGGACAGTAAAGGCATTGCTGATCCTGCTCTAGAGAAGTGAGGTTGTTCAATTACCTCTTAAATATGACAACTACATGATTGCAATTAAAAATAAAGAAATCACAGCAAATATACTGCAAAGGCAAGAGGATGTCAGCCATGCTCCGTCTCCACACAGCAATACAGATTTGTGCTGCAGGAGCGGAGAGAAGCAAGAGCCATGCTAAAAATGAAAGTAAATTACCTACCAAAGTTCAAATTAAATAAAATTACTCCCCTGTGTGATGGCCTACGAAGAATTGCTTAAAAGTGGCTGTGTGAGACCTCTAAAATGACTTTCAAGACCCACCTGAATAGGTCTCATTTTTACCCCCCACCTCCCACACGACCTCTCTGAGCATCTCTTGAAATCCAGCACATCATTCCTTCCCCCTCGCTCAAAGCTTCCAAACTTTGCTGGCTCCTGCAGCCCTGCGCTCCGACACGCAGGGAGCTCTGCAAATACCATCACGCAGCAGCTCTGAAGCGCTGCCGACTTACTTGGTAACCACGCTGCTCTCAAGCATCCTGAAAAACCCAGCCACTTCTCCAGCTCAGTTTTTGCTGGCAGCGTCAGAACAGCCTCCAGAACCACGTGCCCAGAGCAGAGGCAACAGATCCAGACTCCAGAGTCTGGGGCCCAGCAGCCTTTGCCAGCTTATTCACAGCTCCTGCAAGCAGCAAAGTTTACGCCGCTGTGACACAACCGCAGGGTGCCTGATTCTTCTGGAAAGCTCCGGGCTCATTCTCACCATGAAGGATGAGTTTTACGAGGTCACAGGCTGCTCCCCAGCTTCGCGTGCACGCAGGCTGCTCGCGGAAGCGGCTGTTTTCCTGGTTGCATAACTTGCTAATTCAGACTGCACCAGTCGCATGATCTGGGACTGGGGAATGGCAGTAGAGATGCTCCGGGGATGCAGGCGCAGACAAAGGTCGCTGCAGCCCTGCTGTGCGTGCCTGCCTGCGCCCAGGGCCAGCCGAGGAGACAGTCCCCGTCACAAGGGATAAGCCACAACAAAGGAGCTCTATTTGGCAACAGTCAGAGTGCTCCCCTTGGCAAACAGGCGACAGCCACGCGTCCCTCAGGACTGCTAAGCTCTATGGAGATTAGACAGAAATAATGACTGGAGAGTTCCCACTTTTCTCAGAGAGAAATCCAGTCCATCCAGCCCATGGCTGTCTGTGCATGACTGGACAGAGACACACTAGCTCTGACACTAAGCAATTCAGGCTCCTCCAGGGAAGCCAGAAGGGCACACTGCTGCAGAAGGATGGCTGAGCCAACGCAGCCAGCATGGCTCTGCTGGGTGCTAACGGGCCTCATCTGTTCAGCAGCACTGCCCGGCTCAGCCAGGCAGCAGGACGCCTTGGCTAGCTACATGCTTGCCCAGTTGCACTTTGAGGGCAGCCAGGCTAGAATGAAACACACCCTTAGCTTATAGAGGCTGATGAAGGCAAGAATTAGAGCTGCTTTGAACAGGTACATTATACATCTGCACTACTTCAGCAGCTTTAGTTTACATAGCCAAAGCTCTCTTTTCCAAGGAACTGCTCCACAGTTTAGGACAGGCAGCTTCTCTGTCCCAGAGCACGTAAATTCAGGTCTTTCTTGCCATGGGATCTGGAGATGCCTTTCACTGGGGCTCATTAGCACTCACTGCTTCTCACCGGCTGTAGAAACCAACAAGTTGAACGTGACAGGCTTTTTGTTGTTAGCCATCTCACCTTACCCCCTTTGTGTCAATAATCAGCAACCAGAGGGCTTGGTTCCAATCCATTTTTCATCCTATTCTCTCACCTGCCACATCTCATCCTGCCTCCCTACGTCTGCTCTGATTTTGCTCTGCTAATGCTGCAGGGCTGCTTCATTTGCCTTCATTTCATGGGTCATGCTATCCAGATGTCCAACTCCACTCTGCTGGCTTTGTGCCTTATCTTCACAATGTCACCAGACTTGTTTTGGAACCAGCTAGGCTGCCCAGAAGTTCCACAACTCTGAATCTAGACCGCTTTCCTGCTAGCCTCATGCCAGCCTGAGCCACAGCTGCAGCCCTGCCACCATGCTCATGGTTTTCTCTGGGTTTACATCAAATCAACTGATGAAGTGCCATCAGCTGACCAAGACAACACATCTTCTAAAGCAGGGAGCATGAGATGCAATTCACAGAGCTTGGCTTCCCAGCACCACCCTCAAAGGATGAGCTCTGGAAGCTGACTGCTGAATTTGCTGCATTTATTTCCCTTCAAAGCCAGCAACTTCCTCTGCCTTCCAGGAAATGAAATGCATGCTCCAAAGAAAGCAGTCTGCTTTGTAGAAGATTCTTTATCATAAGCATCAGCTTCAAAGGACTGTCCAGGTGACTCAGCTATGTTGGTATCATACGATCAGACACCTGAACATGCAGCCCAAAGCAAGAGTCTGAAACCCCAGCTGCTTGGGGTTAGGCAGGCAATGAAAGCCAGGTGCTTGGACACCAACAGTGCTGCCAAACTCAGGTACAACAACGAAGCAGTGCTGCAGAGAGCCAAGAAGCGATTAACCCTGCAGTAACAAGTTCCATCTATTTCCACTGACCAAGCGATGGGTATGGCAAGACACAAATGAGCATCAGAGGGAGATCGAGCAAAGATTTAAGGTCAGCTCAGCACATCAACAAGCAAGGCATCTTTTTAAAGTGTTCCTTGCAAAGCACCGTACAAAAAACACCACCGCATCCAAGGGTGCCTGACTGTCCTGAAGGCTTCAACACTTACTTTCGAAGAATGATGACAGCTCTTCTCTCCTTGATGTCCTGTGGTCGAATACAGTGTGTAATTTCATCGGCTGCGTATCCACTGACAACAAAAACAAAGAGCCGTGGTGAGAAAGATGACAGGCAGGAGGGTAAAGCGGTTGCCAGGCTCAGCAGCGCGCTCTGGCCAGCCATTTCCCAACTTCCCCCACAAATTCCTCCTCCAAACACCACACCATTCCCCAGGCACACAGGAGCTGGGTTTACTGAACGAGCACAGGAACAGTCAGGCCTTTTTTTTTTTTTATTGTTGATTTAATTTTTTTTTTTAGCATACACCAGAGGAAACTGCCACCTGCCACAACATCATGAAATAAGTCATGTTGAAAATGAGTTTATGGAGTGTAAATTCAGCCAATTCATTTACGAAAGCTTCATCAAGAGATTGGCGTGCAAGAGAATAAAAAAAATCACCGCATTGCTCTCAAGCATCTCACTGAGAAAAAGCCATCCATCATCACCAAGATGCACAGTGCGCCCGGACACGGGGTGTAACCAGAGGCACTGAAAAGCAGCTGCTGCCCGAGCATCTTTGAGGGGGTCTTTGACACTCACCCTCCTCACCATCATTACAGGTGCTAATGAGGGGCGGGCTGCCCTCTGCCTGCTGCTGTGCACAGCAGCTTCCTCCAGTCCAGCACGGGGAAGGAGAAGTGAAACGCCTCCTGAAATGGCCGACGAGGACAGGAAGGCCTCGGGGTGAAGGAGTGCTGAGCGGCAGCACAACATGCCCTGGGTGAACCCAACGCAGGAACCGCTGCGTCTCCAAGAAACTGTGCTTCCCAGGGGCAGTGCTGTGCTCCCAGCCTCACAGGAAGGTTGGAAGCCGTTTCATGTGGGTTTGCAGCTAGAGAGACAGACACACACACACACACACACACACACACGTCCTCTCCGGGATAGGAGCAGGTTCCCTTTATCTGGTTAGGTAATTCACCCACTCATCTACAAACGCTCACCTCTTGCTCACAGAGAGATTTGCCGCTTTGAGCAGACAGCTCACACCTAAGACAGATCCAGCAGAAGAGGGGCTGCTGGCCATCCCCTGCCCCTCCAAGGGGGCTGCAAAGCAACACAGTGCAATGCAGAGGGGTTTCTAATAATGCTCTATTACATTCCAGGAACTTCTGCGTCAAGCTCCAGAGAATCCATTACTATCATCCACGTTAATATTCAGCTCAGCACGTCCTCAGCAAACATCAGGAGGATGGCTGCTTCGAGACCTGTGCGAGACATCAGCTCAGCCTCCCATAGCTATCCCCATACACGAACTGGCTCTCAGCTCGCTCCCAAAGCAGCGTTAAGAAAAGCTTATGGTCCCAAAGCAGTAGTTCTATTGCTCCAGACCCTAAGGGGGACAGTCAGTCAGCCCCGGTGCCATACTGATGGCGGGAACTCAGCCTGCCCCTTGCCAAGCATGGGGGCAGCCTCTGCACAGTCCTGTCACAGAGGGGTTTGCACAAGCACTGAGCAATGAAACAGAAAGAGGTTATTTGGTTGGGTCACAGTTGCCCTGCTAGTGCCAGCAGAACCCTCTCAGCCTATCCGGGCCTCACCACATCCCGAGCATGAAGTGAAGGGAAATACACACTAAAACAAAACCCCCATAAGAATATCAAGGACGTGCCTGGGGATTTCTGCTCTTGCCTGGAGGACAAAACCAAAGCATAGGAGAAGGAATGACCCAGGAAAGAAAGTCCTAAGTTACTGCCCACAAGAACACTGATGGGAACACCTGAGCATGACGTGTACAGCCCAGAGCACCTTTCAGATGAACGAGGAGAAGTGCAGATGCCACCCACAGGCCCAATTGACACCCTGACCCCAAGTAATCTCTTGGATCTTACGTACTCACAGCTCCTCCCCACATCTCTTTTTCAGTCCAGAAGAGTTAACACAAAGCCACAACATTACTGATTCATATGGAGATAGAAGCGGAGATTTTTTGCATAAACATCAGCAGAAAGCAAGCCCTGAAGCTCTGCACAATCCCTAGAGAAATACTTCCAGGGGCTGGATACGGCCAGGCCGGAGCAGTTACTGTGCTCAGGCTTCACCTGTGGTTTGAAAAAGCTGCTGCCACAAAGCACCGATGCGGCATCAACCAGCTGGAGCAGGGCTGGAACAGATCTCTGCCTCGTCACCACCAGCACACGCAGGGCTTGCTCTGAGCAAAGCTGAGGCACCAAGGGCCTTTGCTGAGGGCTCAGACTTTTCTGGAAAGATGTCTAATCCAGGCAGTTGTGCAGAGGTTCCTCCAGCTGGGAAGAAAGCAGGTTCATCCCCCAGAGGCTCCGAGCAGCACTGCCATCAGGCATGCCTCTAGACAACAAGAGAGACAAACATCACGACGCTCCCAGCGCTGCGTGCAGCAGGGAGCAGCCCCGCACTGTGCACAGAGCATTGCCACCTTCAGAAGCAAAGCCTGCCTGTGCACAGGCTCAGAGCTGTGGAAACGTTACCATTAGCAATTTACTCCTCTGGCTAACCGCAGCTTTGCGCTTCCAACCACAGTGCTCAGATGCACTACGTGAAAATCCAACAACAGCTCTCCAGGTGTCGCGATCTCCTGTGTGCTGCAGTGCACAGCCTGGCTGGAGCTGCCCATCCCAAAGCCTCCACAAACCCACCCAGCTCCCTTTCTCTCCTCCAAAAGGTTCCCCAGGCGGATGTGCAAATTCCTCCATCTCCTCCACACTGCTTCTATTGATTGATGCTTATTGAATTATTTTGTTGGTTTTTCCTTTAAACAGGAAAAAAAACCCAAAAAACCTCCTCATAAACATGGTCCAGTGAGCAACCACCCTCAGCAAGCTGATGGCTGAGGCGCACTGCAGCCTGACTGGGGCTGCTTGAGCCCCGCAGCACTGCAACACACCGCTGCCATTTCCTCCTGGCCTAGAGGACACGCGGCAAAGGGACAAACCCTGCAGCCACGGCAGAGAGGGCCTGGGGGGGTCCTCTCCTGGAACACACCAGGGCAAATCAGCGCTATGAATGCAAACTGAGAAAAAAATACCTCGATGGCAGAGCAAAGGGCTGAGCAGCGGTGGCTGGCTCAGCTTTTGTCCTCAGGTATGCAGCACAGCCACCAGAATCCCTGTTCCACCTCCAAAACTCTTCGAAGAGGACACTTTTAAAACCTAACACGCCGTCAGAGAATACTTCACAGCCTGAAGGAGGTTCAGTATTTGCAAACAGCACAGTGTTGTTAGACAAATGCTTTGGTTGACTGTAAAGTTTAACTAGCAACGTGCTGCACGCGCAGTGCCACGAGGCACGTTACCAGCCAGGCAAAGCCTTACTGAAACAAACCTGAACCTGCCCCCAGGGAGAGACAGAGAGCATCGGGTCAGGGGCAGGAAATGGGGAAACCCTTCATGCATGTTTTGCAGAGGATTTTGCACATATTGCTGAGAGGAGGACATGCATGACCTGGGGAGAGATGGCTGGAGATGTGGGGCCAAAGAGAAACGCGGGAGCTCTCTTTAGATCCCCAGGAAATCCACACGGCAACAAACAAACGGAGCAGCCCCTGACCCTGCAGCGCTGGAAGCAGACATTTCAAGCACGCTGTTTCTATCTGCGCCGTTTCCCTATCTCCAGGGCAACTGCCTTCAGCAACTGTTTACTGGGAGGAGAAAAAGCCAAGTTTGGAGAGTTGGCTTAAATGTGACTGAGAGCTGGATCCAGAGGTGCACCCCTGCAGTCCTCCTGCCGTGCTGTACATCTCCTTCCTGCTCTCAGACCTCAGGACGGAGGTTTGCCGGTCCACCAGCTCCACCAGCTCCTATCTGGCCGGGACAGTATCGTCACAGAAGAATCACTGGCAGAATCACTCTTAAGTGAGTGCTAAGTAGCTGCTAACTGCTGCACTGAAATCGAAACAATCTCCATTTTACAGTCTATTATTTGCTGGAAAGCGAGAACATCTAACTGCTGGATGAAGCTAGCAAAGCCAGCACTGGGCTGCCCAGACACCAACTTTCCTATTCTGGCATTAAAAATACCTTGACTTGCTCAGTACGACTGCTTCAGCCATTCCAACGAACAGATTGCAGCACCCAGACCACGAACCCTGCATGTGACACACACACAGGGCCTGGCAGGGAACTCACTCCCATTCTGGGAATCCATAGCTGCCCTCTCTTCCCAGCAGTTCTGGAGGAGTGGTGTAAAGGATGAGAAAACGCGATTCTCCTGTCCTGGAGCAAACACTGCTCCTCATCCTAGAGAGTGCTGCAGGAATCCCAACCCTGCTTCACAGAAGGCCACCAGTGGTTTCCTGGTGAAAACATTACCTTCTCCAGGAGAAGGCATCGCAGGGTTCACATCGCTGGCAGGAAAACGAAGGCAGAAAGTTCTCCTCGTGTCTCACACACATGCCAGACCAGGGGCTGCCGAGCACACAGTGCTCTTGCAGTAAAAGGACACTTCCCCATGGCTCCCTCCCAGCGCTGACCTCTGCCCTTCTCCAGCACGCTCCCTGCCCCAGCCTCATGCACCATAGCGAATGTCCTTAGCCTCGGGAGAGCCCCTCCTGCTGCCGTGTCCTCCCGCTGGCTCTCTCATCCCTCGATAATCTGCACAAGTTACCTAAGGCAGGGGGTACGACGAGGATTAGTTAATGTTTGCACTGCTTTTCCCAGATAAAAGTGATGTGAGCTCCCGGCATTTATTATTGATGCACCAGTCAACAGCACGACGCCGTACGGACGTGGTGGGGAAAATTCCTTCCCGAACCCTGCAGCGATCGCTTTACAAGCTGGAGTGCAGGATTGGGTTACCACTGGGGAGCCCTGAAAAAAACTGGCCTGGATGTTCCCCAGCCCCCCCCTCCCCCCAAAAGATAGCACTGGTCGCTCAGAGCACTGTTGGCACAGTTTGGGCCATCCCACTGCTGGCAGAGAGCACTCTGACCTTCAGGACAAGAGGGATTTGTGCTCAGCAAGGCAGGAAGCCCCAGCACCAGCTTCCAGCTTCCCTCCGTGGTACCAAGGGGCTTCTGGGCTCTGTGGGGCCACTTGTAGCAGCCCATGCTGATGTCCCCCTGCTGCCTGGGGCTCTGTGCACTCACGGGTGGACAGCAGTAATTAGGAAGCAGGCGTTCCCCAGTGCCAATCCCAGCTGTACTGCTGGCTTGCTCCATGACCTTGGGCAGGTCATTTTACCTCCACTGCGCTTCCCCTGCTTGCAGGAACACCAGTAAAGGCATTTCTCATGCCTGCAAGCTGCACGCATTGCTGCCGTGCTGCGTTTACGCTGTGCCTCCAAGGAATGGTCCCACATGGGTCTGTGCTCAGGTCTCCCCCATCAGTGTCCCACAGGTGAGGGCCTGTCTGTCTCAACCCATGGACTGGGATGAGGCTACTCACACCACCTCTCTACACGTAAGGTCATGTCAGGAAGGCCAAGCTAAGAATAGAACCAGGAGCTCTGTCTCAGCCAGCTCACGGGCATGGGATCCATTTTGTATCTCCATACGGATTCCCACTGTTCACGGGAACTGTAGGAAAGACAACCCCACAAGTGACCACATTCAGATCTGGACCTCTGCAAAAAGGAAACAGCCCCCATCTCTTCCATCACCATCCACTGTGACAGCAGGGCTCCCTGTCCCCTCCTGCTGCGTGTCTGAAGGCAGATGAGCCCAACCTGCCATCGGGGTGCGTGCCCGCCTGTCTCATAACCAGCATTACACAACCACGTCTCAGCACACAGCCACACGGAGGCCAGCACAGCAAGTTACCTGAGCACCGTGACGCTTCCTCTCTTCACCGGCAGGAACAGCACGGGCTCCGACACCCGGATGGGTTTGAACTGGAACTTACACCCGAAGCAGAGCGCAGAATCGCTGAAGAACGACACGGAGACGATGGGCCGCTCGAAGATATGGATGGGGTCCACGTGGGAGACAATGCAGCCCCCGGGCTGATAGTCGTTGATCACAGCACTGTTCACAAAGCCCTCGGGGATCACCCGGTGCTCCACCAGCTTCCTGATCACCAGGTCGTGCACCCACTCGGGAATGGCATCCACCTCCCCACGCGGGTACAGGCGCTCCTGCCCAGGGCCTCTCCTCTGCAGCTGAGACCCATAGGTGTAACCCTCCCCAAAAAAATACTTGTTCCGCAGCGGGGCTCGATCCACCGTGTGCTCTTTGTAGAGCCCTTTCTCAGCCCTGGACACCACGTCGTCAATGCGAGCTTCGATCTTGGCACACTCCTCGGCGCTGAAGAGGCGAAGCTGACGAATGCCGCTTTTCACTTTCCGGGCTTCTTCCTCCTCCCTCTGCTCCTCATAATCGCTGGGATCCGAACCGGAGTCCTCGTGGTACCGCCGCTTACGCTCGTAGGGGGGCTCGGGAGGCTCCCGGGGCCCTTTGGAGCCGTCCCGGTAAGGCATCATGGACTTCAGCTTCTCCCGCAGGTCCGTGTAGCCGCTGCCGGCCATAGTGCGCCCGCTGCACCCCGCTCCTTCAGCGCTCTCCGGGCCGCCCGCCGCTCCGGGCCGCGGGGCTGCTGCTCATGGCCCTGCCGGGGGAGTACCGGGGGGCAACGTGAGAGCAAACACCGGTAGAGCGGATCCCCCGACCCGCCCGCTCCCCAAGCCCACGCCGGGCCGGGCTCTGCCCGCGGCCCCGAGCTCCCCGTACCCCTCCGCCCCACAGCCCCGCTCCCGGTGCGTGACCCACCCCGTCCCGCCCCTCCCCCGGCCGTTCCCCTCCCGGGGCCCAACTCACGGCTCGCCCAGGGGAGCGGCGGCGAAGCAACGGACGAAACGGCGAGAGAGAGGAAATTTAAAAACGCTTCGCGCTGCCGCGGGGCGGGCGGGCGGACAAAGGTACGGCTCCCGGGCTGCTCACGCGGCGGCCCAGCCTGGCACATGCCCAGCGGCGGCGGCCCCGGCTCCGCGCCGTGCCCTGCTCGCTGCCGCCACCGCGCCGGCGCCCATGGCGGGGGGAGACGCGGGGCCCGGCCCCGGCTCCGGACCGGGGAAGGAAACGGCGGAGGGCCCCGGAGCTCTGGCGCAGCCCTTCCCGCGGCGCGAGCGGCGCTACGTCACCAGCAGGCAGCCCGACATCCCGAGCCGCCGCCGCGGGGCCGCCCACCGCGCCGGCACTGCCGCCCGCCCCGCCCCGCCCTCGCAGTGCGCACGCGCACGCCGCCGCCCCGCCCCCTCGCCGTGAAGCCCCGCCCCTTCCCCCTCTCCGCCCGCTCTCGCTTCGCGTCGCGACGGACGGCGGCGGCGACGCGCGGCCCCGCCCCTCCACCTCGGGACTCGGCGCTGATTGGCTGCCGGAAGTCCTAACCGACGGTTGATTGGGGGAGGGTCCTCGCGATAACGCCGGCGGGCTTCGGGGCGGCCAGCGAGATGCCTGCGAGACGCGTGGCGCAGGGACACTACCGCCCTCTGGCGGCTGGGGGGACCCGGGGGCTCCGTGCCCGGTGCGGGGGCTGCTGAGGGGAAACCGAAAGGAACTGTGGGGCTCAGTGCGGGGGGAGGTTGGATCGCAGCGAGCACAGCACACAGCACGAATACAGCCGGGCCCCGCTTCGTGGGCTTGTATAAAATCCTGTGCGGGGTTACAGCGAGGAGGGGGGTGGGGGTCGCGTTGGGGACAGGGCCGCGGGCTCAGAGCAGCGTGATCTCGCTGGGCGGCAGCGTCAGCCTCTTCTCCCTCGCCCCCAGCAGCCTCTCCACGTGCGCGGCCACCACGCGGCACAGCTCCAGGCCCTGGCGGAAGGGGACGGGGCCGGGCCGTGGCAACGGGGACACAACGTCGGGGCCCTTCTGTCCCCCCACAGCCACCAACCTGCTCCAACTGCAGCTGGGTGACGCCCTGGGCCTGCAGCTCCCCGGTGGTGATCTCCACATAAGGAGAGCTGGAGCCGGCCGCCGGGCGCTGCGTCCGCGTCGCCTGCAGCTCCTTCAGCGAGAACTTGGCCACGGGCTCCTGGGGGTGGGGAGGTGGGGGCTGGGAGGGCGGTCCTGAGGTCCCCACCGCATCCAGCACATCTCCAGCAAAGTGTGTAGGGAAGGCCCTCCTGGCCCCGCTCTGTGCTCTTAGGGGTCCACACTGTGCCAGGAGGGAGATATCGGCCCCCACCTCTCCTCATGGCTCGCACGGCCCTGTGCCAGCCTGCAGCAGGGACCGTGGGGTTTCCCCATCGCTTAGCCCCCCAACCCACACCTACGTGGGTCTCCTTGCTGAGAAAGTTGAGGCCGTTCTGGTTGACGGCCAGGATGCAGGGTGAGACGATGGCGTGGTTGCTGCAGCTCTGGATGTAGAAGAAGGATGAGCCGAACATGGGGCAGGCACTCAGCAGCCCTGAGGGAGGAGGGGGTGGATGGAGGACGGCATCTCTTGGATTGAAACCTGCCTACCCCATCCCTGTCCCTGTCCCATAGCCCTCACCCAGGAACTGCGCTCGGGCCTGGTGGGCACTGAGTGCCTGTGCTTGCTGCATGTGCTGGGTCACCATGTGCAGCCAGGATGGGGCCGACAGCAGGCGGAAGAGCTGTGGGGGGATGTAGTCCTGCACCTCCCGCCTGCAGGGACACAGAGGTCAGGGATTTCAGTGCCCAATGGGCCCCAGTCTCTGCAGGATATGGGCTCCCAGCCTGTCCCGTACATGGTGGGGAGGTGGTGGCCATCCTTGGCTCGGTGCTGGAGAGCAGCCAGCTTGGCCACTTGCTGGAAGTGCTGCTCTCCTGGCCTGGTGGGCGGCAGGACGGTGAACAGCCCCTTGAGGTAGTCAGGGAGGACCTGGAGGGAGACAGCGCGGTGATACGGCTTGGAGCCAGCACTGGGGGTGGTGAATTGTTGGGAGAGGACGATGGTTGGGAGAGGACACCCTGACCTGGTTGTAGTGCACAGTGACGTAGAGCTCGTTATCAAACTTGAGGGGCTGTCCCCAGACCACCCGGCGGCACCAGAAGGTGTAGGCAGCGTCCAGGCGCTCGGTCTCGGTGGCCACATCCAAGATGTACTCCCGGCGTGTCAGAGGTCGCACGCTCTGCCCTGTGCAGCCCCGGCAGCCTCAGCACAGTGGGGGTCCCCACTTGGTGCTCGCCTGGTGGCATTGACTGAGCCTATTGGCCCCTCACCTCTGTTGGTGACCACGAAGAGGATATATTCATCCAGAGCCTCTCGGCGCTGCAGCCCCATTTCGCAGCACAGCTCCTCTATCACATCCAGAGCCACCTGGGCACAGAGATGTGGGGTTGGGGTGGCGTCACGTCCCCTGCCACATTCATGACCACCACCAGCTCTTGTGCTGGGGTTCACGCTGCGCAGCTCCCCAGGTAAACGATCTCCAGAGACCCTTTTGTCTCAGTGTCCCTCAGCTCAGTGACCGTGCGCCTGGGGTGCGCTCAGCCACCGTGCCCCCCGACTCACTGAGCATGTCTTGATCTTGAGGTGCTGCTCGATGCCGCCAGGCAGGAGGAAGAGCTGGCGCTTGGCGCTGCGCCCAGCCTGTGTAGGGGAACACATCAGGCGTGGGGTGCACTTCTCACACCCCATAAGGACACCCCAGGCCCCCAGGGTGCCCCTGCCATGGTGAGCCACATTTTGCCCCCCTGAAAGCCCAGGGCATCCCCAAAAGAGATTCCCCAATGGGAGGCTCCCAAGCACATCGGAGACATCCCAAACTTTGGGAGGGGATCTCAAGCTGGCATCAGCCCTGCCCTGCACCCCATGGCCTCACCACCATGGCTTTGAGCTCCATGTTGCTGGGAAAAAGGCTGCGGCCACCAAACTGCAGGGTTTTCCGCAGGTTTTGCTCACAGGCTTTGGAGATGCCTGAGAGAGACAGATTGGTGTGGGGATGACAGCACCAGGGGCTCTGCAGCACAGGACAGAGGCAGATGGGATGGGGCTGAGCTGGGACATTGCCCTTTTCTGGCTCTCCTAAAGGTCCCTGGAGCGTATGCAGCCCTTACCCTGGAAAGGCAGCTCCGGGTGCAGGCTGGCATTCCGCAGGAAGGCCAGGAGGAAGGGCCTGAGCACCTCAGAGCACTTGTAATAGGCGGTGAGAATGTAGAGCAGCCTCCAGCCCTTCTGGCAGCTGTCCCTGCAGGGAAGGGGCTGGGCTGAGCCCCAAGGAGAGTGAAGGGTGTCCATGGTGGCACCCACAGCCCCAGGGGCCAGCATAGGGCAGTGTGGGCTGCAAGAGGACACAGCTGTGCCCAGCCCAGCCTCTAGCATGGAGACAGGAACTCACGGCTTGGAGCTGGTGTTGTCAGTGACCTGATTGATGATCTGACAGTACACCTCATCCCGTAGCACCTCATGCTCGGCGCACAGCTGGGGGAGAGGCACTGCTCAGTGCATGGCTGGGGACATCCCCATGGCCGCTGCCACCAATCACCACTCTGCTGTGGGGTTTACCTTGAGGATGGTGCAGACGATGTCCAGCTCCGTTTGCCCTCGCAGAGGGTGGTCACCCATGAACTTCATCACAGCTGGGGGTGACAAAGCCACAAGGTGGCAGAGCTCACTCATCCCTTCCCCAAGGCAAGAGAGCCTCCCAAACTGCAGCACGTGGAGCAAGCAGGCTGGAGGAGGCACCCCATCTGGCCATGGGGCAGGGGATGTGGCGGGGAGCTGTGCCCACCTTGGAAACTCTCAGTCGCCAGTTTGTTGATGCTGTTATCCGTGAACTCAATGAGCGACTCCTGGATGGGAATCTGGGGGGAAGAGGGTGAGTGCTGGAGGAGCTCTCGAGCACATCAGACCTCAAGGATCACAGATGATGCCACAGCAAGGGACATCTCCAGGCACAGGGTGGCACACCACAACAAACACCAGCTTTGCATGACACTGCCATCCCCGATGCGCCCCACTTCCCCGCACCTTGGTGAACCTCAGCATCTCCATCCCGCTGGCTCCATCCATCTTGCTCCCACAGGACTCCCTAAGAGAGAGGGATGAGGGAGCGGGTGGACACAGCCATCCCCATGGTGTCCCCGTCCCTCCATCGGACACTCACGTGGTCCCACGCTGTGCTGCACGGAAATACCGCCTGGCAAAGGCCAGCATGGAGCTGCTCTCTGCACCGTCCCCAAGCTGCTCGCTGCTGTCACCCTCTGGACCCTCTGGGAAGGCGGTGCTGGTCGGAGACCCCTGCAGAAAGGAGCGGTAGGCACAGGGCATGGCCAGCACTGGGCACAGAGCATAGCTGGCAACCTGTAGCCCCAGAGCAACGCTTACCTCAGTTTTGCGATCCAGTTCCCGTGCCACAGCAGTGGAAGCCACGGCCATGGCCACGGCCCCTGAGGCTGCCACCCTGCCCTTCTTGTCCCCAGGCTCCTCCTTCTTCCCCGCTGGCAAGTGGACGAAGTCAGGGGCTGCAACGGGCTGGACGAACTCAGCCGGGAAGAGCCCTGACCTGCCGTGGATGGCCCCGAACTTCCACCCTGCATCAGGCAGAGAGGTGGGGATGGCCCCAGGTGTCACCCCTGTGGCACCCACAAGCCCTCACCATGGAGTCTGGCTGTGGCTTTCAGCTGGAAGCAGCTGCAGCTTTGCATTGTGTGAGGCAAGGACACAGCAGAGGGGACACAGACACCACTGGATGCAGGGACGTGGAGCAGCACCCAGTGCTACAGCCATCCAGGATGGGAACCACAGGGAAGCATCCCTTTGCTTTGGGTTGGTGTTAAAAAGAGCCAAAGCCAGCTTGCTTGCTTGGGGGCAACAGAAGTGGGACCCAGCCCCAGGGTGAAACAAGGCTCAGGTCAGATGGATACACACTGGGGACACTCACAGGGACACCGCAGAGCCACCCACCAAAATCCTGGGTGCCAGTCTTCAGCTCCTCCAGGTACATCACCTTCTTGCGAACCACGCAGCCGTAGTAGTGATCTGTGGGGACATGGCCATGGATATCACAGGGGTGGCCACCAACCTGTCCCCAGAGCTATCCCTGGCTGAGGGTGGGGTGGGACCCTTGAGCTCATGAAGGGCAAGGGGCGAGGACTGGAGGTGGCTCACCTGTCTTGGGGTGCTCCAGTGGCTGCAGGTGAATAATGTCTCCTTTGTGGAAGCTGAGCTGAGCCCCATCTTCAGGGCTGTAGTTCCTC